TCCCCCCACAGGGTGTGGCTGCCCGCCCGCGCGATCCCTCCGCTGCACCTCACTCACTCCGTCCCCCCCCTCCACCCACTCACCCACCACCCACCCACCCACCAACCAACATACCACGACAGAATGATCCTTGATATCCTCCCTCTCCTCCGCTCCTACAAGTGGCTGCTCGGCTCGTCATCGCCGCGACGGGCAGAGATCCTCGCCTCGTTGGGCCTCTCCTTCGACACGGCTTCGCCGTCGTTTGCCGAGGATCTGCCCAAGGAGGCATTCCCCACGCCCGAGGCCTACGTTCTTGCCACCGCACACGGCAAGGCCGATGCGCTCGAGGCCGATGGCGCAACTACCGGCTACGATGTGGTGGTTGTTGCCGATTCCGTCGTCGTCCTTGAAGGCGCTGTGCTGGAGAAGCCCGCCGATGCCGATGATGCTGTCCGCATGCTCACCGCCCTCTCCGGCCGCACCCACTACGTCCACACCGCCGTTGTCATTGTGCCTGCAGGCCGCCCACGGATCGAGCTGGCGGCGTCGACCCATGTGACGTTTGCCGACCTCCCCGATGAGCTCATCGCCGCCTACGTGGCCTCGGGCGAGCCGCTGGACAAGGCCGGCGCCTACGGCATCCAAGGGCTCGGTGGAACCCTCGTGGCTGCCATGGACGGCGACTACTTTACCGCCATGGGTCTTCCCAAGCATGCCCTCTGTGCAGCTCTTCGCGACCTCGCTCCGCTCCTCCCCCAGCCGCAGCTCCCGCAACTGCCGGCCGCCGCCGTGGCCGGCGTCTGGCGCCGGGTCGTCAACTACGAGCCGCGCGACGATGTGGCCGACGCCACCGCCCGCGATGGGAGCGTCGTCGTCTGGATCCAGGCTCCGGACGGGCTCTTTATCGACGCCCGCTCCGTCGCGAGCGAGCCCTACGGGATCCGCGGCTTTGCCGGCTCGGTAGAGCTTGGTGAGCCCAGTCGCGACGGCGCCTTTCGTCTGACATGGCATCGCGAGCTTGACACCGCGCCCGCAGCCTGCCCTACCGGCATCGACTCGGCTACCTGCCGCTGGGCAGGCTCGGACGTTCTTCTCGAAGAGGGCGACGGATACCTCGAGGTCTGGCACCGTGTCGCCACCTGGGGCCCCGACGCCTCGGCCTCGCGCTCGGCCGACGGTGCCATTGCGCTCACTGCTGGCACCGCTTCAGCCACGGCGTCGGCCGCCGACGACGGCGCCGCCCGCATCGTTCTCAACCTCGATGATGTCTGCCTCGAGACCGGGCTTTAAGCAAGACTAAACGCGCCACGGCCACTGCGCCACAAGCGCGCCAGAGGCGTAGTCGGGCAAGCCGCAGCTGCCGACGTCGGGTGTGTTGGCCGGCAGGCCGCCAAACAACGTCAGCACCTCGCTGCTGGGCGTCACCGCCACCGCTGGCGCGCTGCCCGAGCCAAGCGAGCCGACAATGACTCCGGGTGTGCAAGGCGTGAGCACCTTGCCGCGCGCAAGGATCGCGTCCAACGACTCGGCCGCGGTCGGAACAAGCAAGTAGTTGAGGACGTTGGGCGTGGCACTCGGGACAAAGTCACACGTCGCCGGCGACGTGGCTTTGTTGTGCTCGTTCGAGTTCCAGCACCATCCGTCGGTCGCCACCACCACCACCCACTCGCCGGCGGGCCGCGCCGCTGCCCGCGGCCGGCTGCCTGCGCCGATCACCGCCAGCTGCCCGCTCGTGCCGGCGCTCATAGCCACGCCCATTAGAATGCGCCGCGAGGCCGAGCCAACAACGAGTCCGTACCCACCGTCGGACGCGCGCCAGCCACTGCCTCCACCTTTGGCAGAAATGGTCTCGCCTGTAGGCGCCGCAAACTTGGCCTCGGCTCCTGATGCAACGTCGACGATGAGAGCACTTGCGCCCGAGTCGCAGACGTAGACAAGGAGTGCCTCACTCCCGCCGATGACCTGGCACCCGGACGGCCCTGGGCGCAACGCAGTGACGTTGCCCCATGCCAACATGCCAGTCGTTGTCGAGATGCTGACCATGCAGCGCTCAAAGAGAGCAGCGGACTCGCCTGCGCCGACGAGTCGGCCGCACTCTGCCACGCCTATCGGGGCAGCTATTGCTGGCCCAGCGAGCGCGTGGCCATCAAGCGGCGCGGCCTCGACAACACCCGACGGGTTGGTGTACACCAGCGCGCCGTCAAGCAGCGCCCACGGTGCCGCGGCGTCCGGCGCGAGCTGGCCCATGTAGCCCACGGCCGACTGAGGGGCAACGTAGAGCGCAAACTGGAGCGGATCGATGTTGATGGCAAAGCGGAGGCCGGAGGGCGGGCCTGCTGAAGCGTGGGCAACATACAGCTCGGCCACTGCATTGATGACAACCTGCGCCGACGGCTCCCACACCAGTAGCGGCCACGGATTGGCGCCAAACTTGCCCCAGCCGAGCTCGGCCATGGCGACGTAGGTGGGAGTCGGGACCGCGGCATCAAAGACCTCAAAGCGATCGTAGCCGGCGGATGCGTTGTTGGAGAAGCCGGCAGCGAGCGGCGTCGATGAGCCGAGCACATCGTACGCCCAGGTTGCAGGTAGAAACGGCTTGCCTGGAAGTGAGGCATTGGTGAAGCGTGCCAGGCACGTCGCGCCCTCGCTGGGCACACCCGATCCATCGAGCACAAACGAGACCGAGAACCGCGGGTCGATCTCCAGCGCAACGAGAGCGTCAAAGAGCTCACCAAAGGCGCCAAGGAAGGCTTCCGCGCGAGGAGAGCCGTCGCACGGCGCAAACCCGTCGATCTTGAAGCACCAGGCAATGGTCACCGGCTGGTCGGCGGCCGGGCCAAAGTACGCCGCATACGCCGGGTTGCGGATAAAGGCCAGCACGTCGTCGGACGAGTTGTACGCCCGCGCCTCGGAGAGCGGGTTGTGATTGAGCAGGAAGCAGCCGTACTTGGCCGCCCACGGCGACGTCACTGACGGCTGGTCGGCGCAAAACTCGGGAGGAGCATAATGCGGATCGATCTTGTACCACAGCGCGTCGACGTGCGGCGCCGCCAGAGGAGCCTTGGCCAGCGTCTGTGGCCACAAGTCGAGGTCGTCGTACGAGTGCAGTTGGTACGAGATGGGGTTCGGGAGAGAGGCGGTGGCGGTCGGACCAGGCACGGCGGCGAGAGCAGTGGCGAGTGTGAGGGCAGCCAGTGCCAGCAGCAGTCTCGCCATGTGTGTGGGTTGGGGGGGGGGGGGGAAGGGGTGGGGTGGGGTGGCGGCACCTGTCGGCACGCGCACGGGCGCCACAGCGGCCGCCAGCCACCATCGCTCCTTTCTGTCTCACACGGCCATCAGCCTCACCACCACCACCACCACCACCACCACCACCACCACCACCACCACCACCCCTCACCCCCCATCATATTCACTTATTGATGGCCGTCACCCCCATCGCCATCATCCACCGGATCCAGGCCAAGCGGCCGCTTTGCGGCAGGCGGAACAGGGTACTCGCTCTCACTTGGAGTGTCGAGCTGCTCGGGGTCAACGCCGCGTCGGGCAGCGACAAAGTCGGTGAGATCGACGATGCGGATGATGGCCGCACCGCTGTGGAACGGCTTCCACGACTTGAGTCCGAGCTGGATGGCCCGCCGGCTTGGATGCTTGGCGCCACTGGGCGAGTGATCCGGATCCCATTGGAGACGGACAATGCCCGAGTCGCCGCGGGAGAGTCCGGCCTTCTGCGCCGCCCGTGCGGCCTTGTACTCTGCCTCGGAGCTGTACGCCTGCGGATCATACTTGGACGCCACGGCCGCCGCCATCATCTCGTCAAAGGCCGACCGCCGCAGCCAGATCCCGAGCGTCCGCTCCTGGTTGTTCTTGGTCCCCCAACCGGAGCGGAACATCATCCACAGAAAGTTGGTCTTGATCCACGTCATCCGCGTCGGCGAGAAGGCCGGCCCGCCGAACCGCTGGTGCTCGAGGGCGTAGTTTGCAATGGCGTCGTTGTACGCCTGGTAGACAAGCACCGCGTCCTCGGTGTACTGCGCAAGGACCACCCGCCCCTCGGTCGGCCACTTCTCCTTCTGCTCTATATATCCCACTGTCTCGGGCTCGCCCAGCTCGCCAGCTACCGCCTTCTCGCTTGCTGCCATGTCCTTCCTCCACTGGCGCAAAAAAGAAAGGTGGTGCCGATGGAAGGCCTTGGCCCGCGGCCGGCTCGGCACTGGCAACTTTACTTACCCTATCCGTAGGTGAGATCGATGCCGAGGCACTCGACGTTCTTGCCGGATGCGGCATCATTGATAAAGACAAAGACCCGGACTCCAGCCATGGACGTTCGCTGCGGTCGAAAGACAAGGGCGATGGTTCCCGACTCGCCCGGGCCGATGACCAGCTCATCCGAGCCTGCCTCGACATCGACGAGCTCGGGCCGCGAGGTGTGGAGCGCATACTTTTTGACGCTCCGCGACGAGTTGCGGTACGAGACGTGCTTGCGTGACCCGACGTCGAGGCCAAGCCGGACGGCAAAGGTCTTCGAGAGGACCGGCTGCTTGCCGGCGGCGTGCACGATCCACGCGCCCACCACCTCGCGCCGCTCGACGTCGACCATGTGGGCGACGACACCGATGCTCGCTGGTGCTGCCGGCTTGAACACCAGGCCGACCTCGTTGAGCGCGTTGGCAGTGAGCGACGCAGCCTCGCCCCAAGGCGCCTCGGGCCGGAGAATCGACGGGTGCGAGGTATAGAGCGCAACTTGCCGGGGGTGGCTCCCGCCACGCACCGCGAGGCTCCGCGTCGACTCTTGTCCGAGCACTGCCACGACGTCGTCGCGGACTGCGGCCGTCACCTCGACCCGCCACACTCCGTGGACCGAGATCATGTACTCGTCGTCGTAGACCACAAGCACAAACGTGGTCTTGGACGGCGCAGCGCCGACAGCCAGCTTAAAGTACACCTCGGCCGGGTCGGACCGCACCCCGCACACCACATCTTCGCGCGAGGCCCGGAGATACTTGACCGCGCTCCGCGGGACACCTAGCAGCGGTAGCGTCCGCTTGAGGTACTCGCCCTCGGCCCCGTAGAACCGAAGCGTGCGGTCGGCCGGCGTCGCCTGCGGTGCGACGTGCAACTGCAGCACAGCCGCCGGTCGCCCCCGCGCGTCCACAAACTCGACCTTGCCGGTAAACGGCTCGGCTTGCACCTCGTCCCACGCCTGGTACCGAAACGGGATGTAGACCCGCTCGTGTGGGTCGAGGTGGATCGAGACCACTCCGCCGGCCTTTTCCATGTACCGCCGCTCTGCAGGCGTGTCCACGCCAAACGTGCGCTTGCAATGGAGCCACTCGTTGTAGTCGGTCACCACAGTCAGGTTCTCAACCTCGTGGGCGACCGCAAAGACCTGCGGCTCGTCAAACGGATTGACCAGCTCGTACTCGAAGAAAAGCGTCTCGCCAAACACCGGATACAGTCGATGCTCGGCGGTGAGCGCCGCTGAGAGCTTCGACAACAGCGTCAGCCGCTTACGCCGCTCACGGAAGAGCGCCACGGTCTTGAGATCCGCTGCGTTGCCAGCCCGCGCCTCGAGCACGCTTCGGCCCATTGCACTTGCCAGCGCCTTGTCTACCGCGTCAAGCCGCGAGTCGAGTCTGGATCCGTCCTTGGCTGCCCGCTGCTTGAGCACAAGGTCCAGCTCCTCGTCGACTTCGCGCATCGGCCGCGCCACCTCGAACACCGTACCCGAGCCCGGCGGCCTGAGTCCGGCCGGAGCCACACTCGTCGGGTCGTACGGGCCCACCGCTTCACCCTCGGACATCGACCCGACATTGCCAAGCCGCACAAAGAGGAAGCCGCGCGTCGCCGCAGCCGGACTCTCATCGATTTCTGTCTCGTACACCACAGGCACCTTGTCGGTGAACGCTACCGCCGACCGCCCGGCCCGCAGCAGCGCCCGAAGCGGAACATGGACGTCGCCAAGTGCCATCCGAGAGGCTGCATCCCATACCGTAATCTGTACCGCCTTGGTCGCCAGATAGCCCGCGAGCGCGCCGGCCTCATGTGGCCGCATAAACCCGGGATCAACGCAGAACGAAAGGTCAAGCCCGGGCATGGATCCCCGCTGTCCGCCACTGCTCATCTTCCACAGCACGCTCGGATGGCCGTCCTCCGGCACCTCGCCATCGGCGCCCAGAGCCACCTGCTGCGTCTCGGTGAGCGGGAACGAGTAAAACTGAAGCGTAAAGTAGAGCCGAGAGCCAGCGCCGATGCGCTCGGCGCCGGGTTCGCTCGCATATGCCAGGAACTGGATGTGGACGGTCGAGACGTTGTTGACGTCGCTCGACTCTCGCGCGAGCTCGCTTGCCGACAGCGGCCCGGGCTCGGCCCCGCTGACGTTGGCGGCCGGCGCGCCGGTACCGTCCACAAGCTCCGGGAAGCCGGCCCGGAAGAGGGCGGCTTTGTCAGCACGGGTGAGGTGGGCAAAGGCGCCCGCGCTGGCCGAGCTCCCGTGCGACTGCGGCAAAGGCTGTCCAAGCACCCGCGACTCGCGCATCTGGGCCCGCGGCGCCGCCGGCCGCGGCGGACGGGCAGAGAAAGCCTGCGCCTGCGGTGCCGCCGGGTAGTCGAGTGGAACCGGTGCGCCCGTAAAGTCGTACTCGCTGCCTCGAGCTCCAAGCTCTTCGTTCTCGTGGACCTTGCGCGACGAGCGCCGCCGCCGACGCGAGCGCTTGGACGACGATTTGCGGTCGACGGCCGCCGGGAGCTCGGCCTCGGTCGCCGTGGCAGCGTCGACGCCAGGCGGGAGGTCGTCGGCGCCGCCCGGCACCAGCGTGGCTCGAAAGGCGAGCTCGTTGCTCGCCGCCGACGCATCACTGGCATGAGCGTCGGCAAGGCAAGTGTACAGCAGCCGCGAGTCCGGGTTGTGCGACGGGCCTGGAACAAGCTGGACCTCGACATCGCCGTGGAGGAGGCCATTAGATCCCGGCGACGAGAGGAGGAGTGGAGCCCATGCAATGCCGTACGACTTGGTCGCCTGCGGCGCGTCAATGGCCGCCCGCTTGCGCTCCTTCTTAGTCAGCTTGAGTGGCGGCCGCTGGACAACAAGCTCGAGCACGGTGACGAGCGCGATGCCGCCGTCGAGCGGAACGAGTGGAAGCAGGAGCGTGCCGCCAAACTCGAGTGTCCCCGACGAGGCAACCTTCTCAAGCGAGACAACCAGTGGAGGCGAGAGGTACTTGAGCCCGTTGTGAACGCCGACACGCAGCCGGCGCTCAGTGATGGCAAAGGCGCCGAGCGTGGCGGCGTCGACATTGTGGGCATGCGCGTAGGCAGCGCGTACCCGCGCAAGAAACAGGTCCTCGAACATGTGCGGGAGCGCAACCGCCGGCGAGAGAATGGCAAGGCCATCGTACGGAAGCGGGCGCGGCGGGCGCGGAATCGACGTCAGATCGATGCCGGGCACGGTCGAGCTCGCCGAGACCAGGTGGTGGAACGGGAGATACGGCCCGAGCTCGCCGGTGACGTGCGGGTCGAGAGCAAGCGTGGCCCAAGAGAGCGAGGCAATACCAGGCAGGGCGCGGACCGATGCCAGAGGAACAGACGCCAGCGCCCGCGGCGTGCCCGCGTACAGTGGCGCGAGCGGGCGGTCGCGGCCGACAGGCACGTCAGCGTTGAACGGGAGCAGGGCAAATCCGAGGCCGTACTCGGTTGTGGCCACCTCGGACGGCTCGGTCGGGTCCGGATGAACAACGGCCATGACCAGCTCGACAACCAGGAGCAGGCGGACATCAACAACATCGGTGTGGACCACCACCGGTATGTCGAGGGCGAGCCGCGAGCCCGGGTTGGCCAGCGGCGCCGAGGGCGAGACAAAGGTCGAGCCGACAAAGCGCGAGTTGAGCGCATCAAAGACGGTAGCCCGGATGGAGACCGAGCCCACAATCGGCGGCGAGTACAGAGCCTCTAGCCGCGGTGGGAGCTTGGGCAGCGAAGCCAACGAGCCGACGGTCACCACCACCGTTCGCGCCCCGCCCTCCAACGCGGTCATGTCCGAGCCCTCGCCACGCGGGCCACTTGCTTCCAGCGGCACAATAGCCACTCGCCGCGCATGTTCCTGCCACGCACGGCTACCTCCGTCGAGCTCCATGCCTGGGGGGGGCGTGAATGAGTAGCTGCGAGTGCGGTGTGTCTCCCCACCTCGCTGCCCTCCCGTCGTCTTGATCAGTTTGAACTTTCGGCGGTCGTTTTTGGCGCGCAAAGTTTAGTCAGTCGGCCAGCGGCGAACACCCATGGCGGAATGGTTATTCGTGCGCGTCTTCGCGCGCCTCACAGTGAACAGCACAGTACATGAGCAAGTCCTCGAGCTCCCCTGCTGCCGCCACGCACCAGCTGATCTGTTTCGCATGGCTGGGGCTTGACATGGGAGGGCCGCCCACCCGTGATGGCGCCCGCCGAGTAGGCGCCCATCTGCAGCGTGCCCGGGTTGCCGTCGCGATGACGGGCGCGACGCGGCGCACGCCGATCTGAAGGAGCAGCGGGCGCGGAGCTTGTCGTTGACACCGGTAAACACCACCGAGTACTTGATTCAGACTACGTCGACGCTGCGCTCACCAATGCGCTTTTCGACGCCAATCCCCACGTCACATTGTCGCGCGTCGAGTTCCTCTATGCTGTCATCGACGTGCTCTCCCAGCTTGCGCCGGCGGCCACGTGTGTCGAGGGAGAGGGGTGCAATACTCGGCTTGCTCATCATCAACATGTGTGGGGTACCAAAGGGTCGGTACGTCGTGTGCCGGACCGCGTGGACAAATCTGTCCGTTCCGTGTCTTGAAGGACACATGGATGCAAGGCAACCACAAACTGGCCAACTTGAGTCCATGCTCCATAGCAGTCACACAACAGTACCACTCCAACCAAAGCATTCCTCTTGGGTTGTGGTACATGTATGTGGGCTTCACTTGCGCATCGTGGGCTTCTTTGAGTTTAATCTCGCGAGCGCGAGACGACAGAGCTTGGGAAAAAGTCAAACGGCGCGATCTACGATTCTCGTGTCTGTAGAAAAGGATGCAGACGTACCGAGGCACTGTAGCTCGATTGCTGCATAAAAGCATGCCTGTTGCGATTTCGTTCGACGAGCGTGTCGTGTCTCTACGTTTAACACATCAATTGATGTTGTGCCGGCTCTCTGCCTGGCTCTTCCGCCGCGATAGTGTTGGACAGGCTCGGCGGCCACCGGCCGCGCCGCATAAGGCGACGGGGTTTGCGAAGTGGCTGCGTCAGGGCGATCACGGAAAGAGGGAAGGGACAGGCAGAAACGACAGGTCAGACGATGTGGCGGGGAGACAAGATGAGAGCGCGCTAGAGCTCGGCGGCGACCTTGTCGAGGACATCGGCAACAACGTCAGCCGGCTGGGCACCCGAGAGAGCGTACTTGTCGTTGAAGATGAAGAACGGGACGCCCGAGACGCCACGTGTGTAGGCCGAGTCGATGGCGTCGCGGGTCTCCTGGCTCAGCTCGTCAGTGTTGAGAAAGGCGGCGGCAGCGTCGGCATCGAGCCCGGCGTCTGCAGCGGCATCGCAGAGGACGGCGTGATCGGCAAGGTTGGCCTCGCGCTCAAAGTAGCGGGTCATAATGCAGGCGACGAGAGCGTCGACGGTGGTAGCATCGGACGAGCGTTTGGCCCACTCGATGAGGCGGTGCGAGTCAAAGGTGTTCCCGATCTCGCCGCCGTAGGAGAAGGTGATGCCCTCCTCAAGGCCGACAGCCTTCATGTGAGGGATCATCTTTTCGATGCGGGCCTCGCCAAACTTGGCTTTGTAGTGGGCGAGCTTGTCGACGGCCTTGGGCAGCGATCCGTCGAGCATAAACGGCTCCCACTCGATGACCACCTCGGTCGCGTTCCCGGCCTCGCGCCACGCCTCGACTGCTTTGCCCAGCCGTCGCCGGCCGACAAAGCACCAAGGTCAGATGTTGTCCGACACAATCTTGACCACAATGTTCTTTGCCTGGCTCGCCATCTCTCTGTCTTGTCTGAGGAGTGATGTGTGGCTGTTCTGCTCGTCGGTGGTGGCGGTGGTGGTGGTGGTTGAGGGGGGGGGGTGAGGACCGTATCGCTCTGTGGTCGTTCTGCGGAGGGACTGCGGCGGCGAATTGGCCGCATGTCTGCTCGCTGACGCACCAGCCTCGGCTCACTCTGCTACCTCTGATGACTCCACCACTGTTTTCATTGCGCGCCGTGTGTGCGCCCACAACTTGCGACTGGCCGAGTCCAAGTTCTTGGCTCGTCCCAGACAGTGCTCGGCATCAGCCATCGGGCAGGGGCTGGCTATGGGCTGGCCATCGGCTATGGGCTGGCTATGGGCTGGCCATCGGCTATGGGCTGGTTATGGGCTGGCCATCGGGCAGGGGCTGGCTATCGGCCGGCTATGGGCTGGCTATGGGCTGGCCATCGGGCAGGGGCTGGCTATCGGCCGGCTCGCCATCGGCTAGGGGCCGGCTATGGGCTGGCCATCGGGCAGGGGCTGGCTATGGGCTGGCCATCGGGCAGGGGCTGGCTATGGGCTGGCCATCGGGCAGGGGCTGGCTATGGGCTGGCCATCGGCCGGCTCGCCATCGGCTAAGGAATGGCCATCAACTGGCCGACTAATGACGGACCGACCGGCCATTGGCCGGCCAACTGCGCCGAGTCGGCCCCACCCCCCCCCCCCCACCCCTAATTTGACCGGACCATAGTTAGCCACACTCCTCACACCAAGGTTGATGTCATCCCGCCCGGAGCATGTCAATCCTCCCGAGATTGTAGGTGGCGGAAGAGCGGGGCCTGTTGTGGGCGTCGGGAGCCTGTCGGGGTGCGAGACGGGCGAGGGTGGAGGGGAGGGGGGATGGATGGGTTGATTGGGACATGCGCACTCATGGGCGAGCGAGGGTGGTTGCGGGTAGTTCTACGGGGAAGACGAGGCTGCCAAGTACCGCAAGTCGTCACGGATGATTGCGGTTCAGGCGCAGATGTCGCAGAGAGCCATCGAGCTGCTGATGCTGCCCCAGGGCGAGCCGGCGCTGCTGCTGGACATCGGGGCCGGGACTGGGCTCTCGGGCTCGGAGCTGACAGAAGAGGGCCACACGTGGATCGGCGTGGACATTTCGCGGGCCATGCTGGAGCAGGCTGTCGATCGGGGCGTTGAAGGCGATCTGGCAGAGGCCGACATTGGACACGGCTTGTTCTTCCGCCCGGGCACCTTCGACGGCGCCATCTCGGTCTCTGTTCTCCAGTGGCTCTGCCATATCTACAAGAACGAGCACGTGCCCAAGCGCCGCCTCCGCAAGTTCTTCCAGAGCCTCTTCAACTGCCTCTCGCCTGGCGCCCGCGCCGTCTTCCAGTTTTACCCCGAGACACCGGCCCAGATCGAGCTCATTGTCGCCGCCGCCATGGAGTGTGGCTTCTCGGGCGGTCTCGTCGTCGACTACCCCAACTCGAAGAAGGCCAAGAAGTACTTCCTCTGCCTCTCCGCCGGCGTCTCGGCCTACAAGCCCGAGGCACTCGGCACCGGCCCGCGCAACGCCGGCGAAGGCGTCAAATACACCGAGATGAAGCGCCGCGAGGCTCGGACCAAGAAGCGCCGCGGCATCAAGGGCACTCGCGAGTGGATCGACCGCAAGAAGACCTCCCAGCGCAACCGCGGTCTCGAAGTTCGTCGCGACTCCAAGTACACCGGCCGTCGCCGCAGGCGTGCCTTTGGCTGATGTGGTAAACACAAGCCCCCCAATGCTGTCATTCATGCCTTTAACCATAGTTTCCCTCGCTCCCTTCATCCGATGGCGCGCCACGTAAGCGTACCGCCCTCCCCCGAGGTGTCCCTCCTCTCTTCACCCCCTCTGCCCCCAAATCGCCACGCCGGCCGGCCACCCCACTCCGCGCGCCCCCGCCACCTCCGCCCGTCCTTCCCCCCACTCCACTCCACCCCACCCCACCCCGTACCCTCACCATGGCTGCCGCAGCCATACTGTCGAAGCTGACAGAGCTGCGAAAGGTCGATAGCGTACGCCCTCCTCCCTCCCTCTCCCCTCCCCTTCTCCCCTTCCCCCCCCCCCCCCCCCCCACCTCACAAAGAGGATGGACGACGACGAGGGGGTGTAGGTCTCGAAGCGATGCCAGGTGATGGGCAAAATGATCAAGGACTCCCTGGAGGGTCCCGAGGGACAGACTGCGCTGTTCAACTGCTTGCCGCAGCTGCTGGGCGATATCTTTGGCCTAGAGTCGCGTGGAGCCCAGTCGGCGTCGCTCTCGTGGGTCGCATCGTGCAAGAACGACCGCGATGTCCGCGCTCTTGTCGCCTTTCTCTCGCCGGACACGCCCCTCTTCTCTACCATCCTGTGGGCTTCGATCTCGCGGGCGTACAACGCGGTCTCTGAGATGATTTTCCCCATCCAGTACCTGCCCGAGGCGTCGCGGGTGCTGCTGACCTCGCGCGATCGGTCTGTCCGCCTCCCGCCGCTCTACCGCGACCGCAAGATCACTCACGACAGGACCGCCATCGAGATCTCGGTGCTAGAGTACTTTTTCTTTTGCTTTGCCTACTTTGCCACGTCGTCGTCGACCTCGTTTGTCTCGTCGGCGACGCCGATCAGCTTTATGGGCATTTCCACCAAGCACAAGTCGGCAGCAAAGACGCGGCGCGACGTCTTCCGCTCGCTCTCCAAAGTCTACATCCGCTCGTTCATCCAAGTGGCACGGCCTTCCGGCACCACGCCGCCGTTTGCGCTCGACGCCTTTGTCGCCAAGGTCCTCCACGGCGCGGCCGGTCCAGTCTCGGCGTCGTCGGTGGCAGCGTCGGGCCTCGGGCTCAGCGGCACGGGCGACAAGGAGGTCCAGGCTGTTGTCCGCAAGATCTCCGAAACGACGCTGCTCATCTTCAATGACTTTTGGCTCTGCCGCAACCGGTATGAGAGCGGACGCAAGCCGCTCAACTACACTATTCCGTCGTTCGAGTCGGCCCTCTCGCTCAAGGTCCTTGTCGAGCATCTGGCCGGCGACCTCGACCTTGCCGCCGCACTGCAGCTCGGCACCGAGGCCGGGCTTGGAAGCATTGCCGCCAGACGCAGTATGATTGGCTCGCCGTCGGCCTCGGCCTCGTTCTCGGCCTCTTCGTCGCCGTTTCGGTCCAGCTCATCGTTTGTCGGCTACCGCCCGGCCACTCCGCCGCTGTTTGTCATCCAGCCGCCTCTGTACCGGTTCCTCCGACACGGGTTTGCCATCGAGACCTCGACCGGGGCCTCGTTGCGCAACTTTGTCGACATCTGGCTGGTCTACATCCAGCCGTGGCGCCGGCACAAGTCCGGCGAGCTTGCGGATCTTACGACCTGGCGCCCGTACGTCGGCAACAGCCTCCTGTTCTACGTCACGCTCTTCCGCGCCGCCCTTGAGCGACTTGTTGGCTCGTCGTTCTCTTCGATTTCCAAGTCGAGCAGTGAGCCGCGCAACATCCTCGCGGCGCTCCTCGCTCCGTTTGCGCCAGATGCGTCCGGCGTCTCACCGCTCGGCCAGATCGTAGCCTCGCTCGAGCAGTCCGCCGCCTCGGACAACTACATCCGCTCGCACATCCACCTTGTCGAGGGCGGGCCTGTCCGGCCGCCGGCCGTCTTTATTCGGTCGCGATCGATGAAGGTCGTGGTGGCGCAACTCATCTTTGCCGTCCGCGCCGCCCGCCACGAGCTCACGGGCCACGCGCCGCAGGCCTCGCCCGCGGCCTCGTCGTTTGGCAGCAGCGTCTTGGTTCGGTTCGGCGGGCACAGTGGAAAGTCCAATCCTGCGGCGCAGACGCCGAGCTCGGTCGCTACCGATCTGGCTGGCCTCGAGGCGGCGCTCTTTGCCATCTTTGCCGTCCACGACCTCGACGACCTGCGCGAGACCGAGTTGTCTGTGAGCCGCGGCGCCGCCGTCGCCACTGACGCCATCCACGAGTCCGACAACTCGCTGCGGCTGACCCGTGCCGGGCGGCAACAGGTCCGCTCCGGCGCGATCAAGTGCTCCTCGCTCGACGACGTGCCGGTTCTGGGTGACCCGGACCTTGTGCGCATCACATCGACTGAGTTTGGATTCCTCGTCCGCGCAACCTTTGCCGCTGCTGCCGCGCTCAACGCGCACTTTGGTCTTCCGGCGCCGGCCGACTCTGTGCCGCTGGTGGCACGGGTCGGCCTCGCCATCGACGCTGCCGGCGACACGCTCTTTAGCGTCCACGGCGACACGGCATCACTTGCGGCCGCGCCGTCGCCCAACCGCAAGTTCCGCCTCCGCTGGCTTGCGGCCAAGCCGACGTGGGCCACCTTTGCCGTGCTCGCGTTCTTGGTTTACATTGTCAAGCGGGTCTTGTTTGGCTGAGCCGGCAACGCTCATACCTTGGCGAGCTTGCGCTGGTACCGCGGGAGGCTCGCCCGGCGCTCCTCCATCGAGAGCGACTCGTCTGCGTAAAGAAGAACAACCTTGGAGCTGCTTGCGCTTGTCCGCGATGGCGGTGCGGGCGCGGGAGCGGGAGCGAGCGCGGGCGCGGGCGTG